AACAGTTTTGCTGTTTCCTTCACTAACTAGTTGCAACTGTTTGTTGAATAGTTTTATTTAAACCTGTATTATTAATGTCTAGACATTCTTCAGAGTTATGCTCTGTTCATTTTCTCTGTTCGTTCTGTAGAAATGTAATAAGAATAAAGTTTTAGGTACTTGGTTAAGGAAACAGCAAAGCTGGTTTAACAAAGAGTTACAACTATTTAGTGGAAGAAATGGCAACAACATTAAAACACTACATTAAATAATGGTCAGACAGGAAAGAGGAAATTATACTGTACCTGCATTAATGACCACAAGCTTCTGTGTTCAAGAACTGAACCTATCTGGACCACTGCAAAGGGTAGAAGTTCAAGGGCCTCTGTCCTAACAATCTCCTTGGGATGAATTAGAGTCACTTTTAATTATATGCCTTGAGTCACAGTTTCAGGGGTGATTCATAGCCCATGTTATAGTAATTCCACTTCTAGATATATAATGTACAGCATAATCCAAAATGTAGACTAGGACTTATGCAGTATATATTTACATATTGCTTGAAATTTAAAAAGCAAAAGAAATAACTTAAACATCTAACAATAGTTCAATAAGTTATAGTGGGAAGACTGTTATCCATTCATTATATGATGGTGACTTAGTTTGCTCAGACTATTACAACAAACTATGATAAATTGTATTTCATTGTTTATTTATTTTTTGGTCTGAAACTGTTTTTTTTAAGAAGAGGCTATACACTTTACGAGGTATCAAAGGTACCCAAGGCTCTCAAAGTTTTGGGATTCTGCATTAAATTCACCTGCTGAGATTAAATAAACTTCACTAACAAGGGAGAAAAATGTGAGTTGTGGCAGATTGTGGCTTTAGAAAATCTGGTTGATTTTGGAAGAGATTTCTCACCAGTGAGCAGATTCCAGAAAAATCACTTAAAGGCTGCAGCACAGAGTGACTAAAAATGCAAGCTCTGGGGTCAAACTGTTTGGCTTCAATCTCAGCACACTGCTCGTGTGACTGTGAACAACTTCCTGAGTTTAGACCTGACATCCTCATCTGTAAAATGAGAATGATACACACTCCTGACTCAGACAGAGGTTGTGTGAAGACCGAGATAAGTCCTGTAACTCATTCAGCTCAGCCTGGCACATATAGCTCTTCCACACTAGCATGAAAGTCAGCCGCACTTGTGTCCAGCAGCCCGCTCCTGTGCATTCTTTCTTTTATTTTTGTTCTGAAATGTCTTACTCACCCATCATCCCAGACATACTTCTTCTCACGCTATTCTCTCCTTCAGGCAAATTTGCCTCTCTGCCACATGCCCTCACCTGCTAGCAAAACCCACTCTCGGATAAGGCTCTGATACCCCTTACTTAAGTCTCTGTGCTTTTCAATACTTTTTGTTAACCTCTCCCAGGATGACAGCCCTTTAACTATCTGAGAAGGCTTTGCTTCCAGCAAAAGCAATTTCAGTTTCCAGAAACAGATAAATGTTTCTCTTTACATTGGTATGCCCATCTTTTTACTTCTCTGCACCTCACTGTTCCCATTCAAGCTCCACTTCATCCAAAAACCTTCCTTACCTCTCTTGTCTTCACTGGCAGGGGCAGGAGGTGGCCCTCTGATGTCTCCAAATTCTGGCACATAGGGACTGCTGGCCAGTCTGGACATTCAACTAAGCCTGGCTTTTTTATCTCTCTCTTCTGCTTACAAGCAAGCAGCTGTTCTCAGGAGTAGGGGCCTACTGTCTGTCTATTTTTACATTCTCCGGGACCTCCAACTAGGCAAGGTAAGAAAGATAAGCTATGGACACCTCTAAGGGGTGCTTTCTTAGCACCTCCTGACCTCTGTGTCTGAACTGTGAGGTCCTGGGGTAGAATGAGCTAAACTTGGCTTCCAAATGAGCTAGGAATATCTTTGCTAAACTCTTTAAGAGTCTCTAGAGCAGGCCAGGCTAGGTAGGGCAAAACAGTTATCCTAAGGATTCTTGGAAAGAATCCTCCCTTTTCTACGATGTGGTTGCTCCCAGCATCCAGGAGTACCATGAAGTAAGAATCCTGGACTATGCTCCAGGAGCCTTGGGATTATAAACCTGGCTGCCACAGTGATAGCTATGGGACCTTGAACATCTCTCTCCCCCCTTCTGGATTTTAGTTTCATCAACTGTAAAATTAATGTTTTGAATTTAATACTCTCACACACTGAGAAGGAGAATTGGACTCATTCTTTGTGGATACATTCCAAAATTCATCATATTTTTCAAGAAATAAGACTCATGCTTATAATTTTCCAGTCACCCTACAAATTCTCTAGCACTCTTTCCCATGATGAGTATGGAACTCATTTCACGCTTCCCAATGTGCTGAGGTAACCACCACATTACCTTCTTTTAATGTCTTTAGTTGAAGAAATTATTTAAAAATATGTCCGTAGTAGGCAAAAATCTCAAAAGCTTCTTTTATTTTAGTTATGGAAATAGTTTGATTCTAAAAAATCATGTCTATTTGTCTGAATGTTGAAAGTATTTAGAGAACAGAAAAGAAATGTAGACTCATAAGTGTCAGCTTGGGCTTGCCACCAGTTTGTGGTGATACTGTCAACTGGGCAGTGAGTTCAATGAACTTGAACATAGTGCGGTATTATAGGGTTACCTCATTCACTCTGCATACGTGGACTTTTAGCCTATTCAACTAAGAGAATCATATGTTATGCCTGCCACTGGCATAAATGCTTCCTCAGATTTCAAGTCTTGAAATACCGCTAAAAAGTGTCAGCGGTATTATCAGAGCAGACTTAAAAGGAAAGGATCTATAAAGATCTATAAGTCTCTTCAGGGTGGAGAGGTGAAATGTGTAGGCAGTGAGAACATGAGGTCGTACTGCCCCCACAATCCACGTGATCATGAAATCTATTCAGTGTTCACTCAAAGGACGATCTCACTAGAACTAGGAAAAGAATTGAGAAGGCAGGAAGAATGTAAAAGGACAGTTTGACCAGTGAGCATATATATATATATTTTAATTTTACTTACTGACAACACAGTTTTGTTCCCTATAAAATCACTAGCAGACAATGATATATAGAAATTACACATAGTTAAACAAGTACTAATACATACATTTTAGACTGAACAGCAAAAAGGAGTTTGGTTGTCATGTACAAAAACCTCCTAACATAATCGACTGTTTAGCAATCTTTATGGGAAGAGTGCCTCTAATGCCATTAAATTGTATAACTTTCTTACTTTTAATCCCTAAACTAACCCTTGATTTTAAAATGTAATATACAATTTTATTTAAAAACTAAGAATTGCTCTCCAATGTGTATTTAGTTTAGGCAAATACTTTAATTGCTTTTTATTTTCTCAGAGAATTCTGAATAAACTGTAGGGTCTTTGGGCAATGAAAAGAAATAGGGAAAAACAGGTAAATCTTTGAAAATGTGTTTTCTGAGGAAATAACAAAAAAATAAACTGCTATCAAAAATGAAGAGTTAACTAAGTATATAGTCGTAGGGTGAATATTTCATAGTAATCACTTAGGTTTATAAATATCCTGTTCTTGAATTAAATAAGAAGGGGCAAGTCCACTCTGTAGTTCTCCATGATTATTGGAATAAAAGTGACTTGGAAATGCTGTTATTTTGCTCAAACTCATACTGCCTGGGAATGCACAGGAGAAGGTGGTTAGTACTTCTGAGATCCCAAAGATGCTCTGATGCTAGAGTTTTTAAAACTCTGACCATTTCCTGACAGGAGATTAATTTGCCCTGCCTTCCACTAGCTGTCATCAAAAGTTACAGCCTTGTTTGTACCACACATCATTAGGAAAGTAATGCATGCTGCACTGCTAAGAAGGGTAAGGGAATATAATTCACAGAATGAAAAATAAAAGGAGAATACAAGTTTGCTGGATACAGAAGCCAAGGCTGAAGGTAGCAAGTGAGTCTTTGCCCAAGCACACTACATTGTCACTAGTCCATCTTTTTTACTACTTCTGTGGTTGAAAGCAGTTTCGCACACATTTTATTGGCTTTCACAACTATCCTGACATTAGGTACCATGGGTATTATCTCTGTCTCAGAGAAGTTTTCTGAAGGCCACATAGATGAGAGCCACAGCTGAATCTTAGACCTTCTGGGTCCAAAGTTCCAAATTCAAAACACCAAATGAAAGAGGGAAAAAAGTGGGATGAGCCTTCAGTACCTGTGGGGTCCCCACAGCCCCCGTTGGAATGCTGTCCCAAGCCACTTGTGTTCTTTCCTGATATGCACAGCTCCACCTTGAGCGATATGCCCTGCCGCTGGAACTCATGACTTCACGCGAAGGAGTTCAAATGCAATGGCCTATTCCTCCCAAGAATGTTTCCATGTTGTGAAAGAAGTGAGTCTCAATCCAAAGGAATCTTGACTGGGATGGGTTTTGGGCTCACTGACAAGTGCATCCTACCTTCCAATCACAGTGATAGCTGTGCCTCATCAGCCCAGCTGGTTAGGAAGGAGCTCTTCCTCTCATACTTGAAAGCTGGTGAGAGTGAAAAAATGTGTGATATCCACATTGATGTGGTAACATTCAAAGCTCCCACACTTCACAGCATGAAGATACGAGAAGGAACGGAAGCCTAATGGTCAAAGCCAGAATAACAGAGGCAAAACAATGCCATCCTTGCAACCAGGGAGCTTGAGCCTCTGCCCTGAGCCCCACACAGGGAATTTTGACTCTCTTCAACTGTACCTTCTTCCTCCTGGGCTGAGTAGTCCATAAAGCCAAGGGGACATGCCCACACCAAGCATCCCCTCTGCAGACTTTCCCTAGGGAACTTCATAATTCTTTTTTTCCCATTAAGTGGATCAGTACTTTTTTTTTTTTTTTAAAGACATGGTCTCACTATGTAGTCAAGACTGACCTGGAACTCAGTATGTAGCCCAGGCTGGTCTTGCACTCATAGCGATCCTCCTGCCTCAGCCTCCCAAGTGCTGGGATTACAGGTGTGCGCCACTACGCCCGGCTGATTGGTACATTTAAAGCAAACAATACAGTTACATTTATCATTCTCTGTCCAAATAGCATCCAGGGTTTTTATAGTCTCATCTCCATCCTTCTCCTGACAAAACTTACTACGGATGTTCAGAGCCCTGGGCTTGGGGGTGGGGGCAAGGGTAGGGCCATAGAAAAGCACAGGGAGTGCAAACTTGGCCACACAACATGAGGTGTCCCTGTGCTCTCATACAAAGCTATTCACAGTGAGAGTCAGACCAGGGATGAGAAGCGAAGGGCTACAGAAAGAGCTAGGAACCTCTTTTGACTTTCTTGGCCCAGCTTTGCAAATGTTAGGAGTGAACTCAAGCTAGAAAACAGTGAGACAAGTGTTTGATGAGCAGCTGAGATGATCCAAGGATCTTTTCACACTCCAAACAAATGTACTCTGGCTCCCTTGTGGAAACCTCCTTAATCCAGTCTGTGTCACACTTGACTTGGGTTTAATTCCTGTTTTGTTTCATCCACTAAATGTCACCAACATATTAGTTTTCATCAGTGCCTGCTCTTTGCACAAATTAGATATTCAATGAATATTGACCTCTAGTGACAATGTGTAGTCTCATCTGTTTTAGACATTTCAAGCTTATTGGACACAATATCTCCGTGGTTGTCCATTCACTCTCCTGTCTGCTGAAAACCAAGAGTTCCTGGTTGGGCCATGTACCCAAACACATCGGTTGCCTCCCAAAGATCTTGTCTTCTGTTTAAACTTTGCAAGGCCCATGGGGTTATTTTAGTCGGATGCAGTCTACCTCTTCTGTGGCAGGCATCCCGGTAGTTTTGAGATCAAGGTCAGCACTCGACTTACTCCCATGGTAAGAAGACTTCCAGTGGAGCAGCATAACCTTCTTGAAGTACTTGATGGTGTTGTTCTTGACGGTCACAAAGCAGAGGGTGTTGATCATGCTGTTGCTCATGGCGATGCACTCGACAATGTAGAAGGCAGTGAGGTAGTGTTTCTCCCTCACGAACACAGTGGGGAAGAAGTCGCGCACAATGGTGAAGCCATAGAAGGGCGCCCAGCACAGCACATAGGCCGTGAGGATGCCCATGAGGACCAGCACCGTCTTCCGGCGGCAACGCAGCCGCTTGCGGATCTGCTCAGTCTGGAACCCAGGGACCTCCTTGAACCAGAGCTCCCGGGAGATCCTGGCATAGCACAGGGTCATGGTGACTACAGGGCCCACAAATTCGATGCCAAAGATGAAGAGGAAGTAGGACCTGTAGTAGAGCTGTTGGTCCACTGGCCATATCTGGCCGCAAAAGATCTTCTCCTGGGACTTGACAATGATGAGGATGGTTTCGGTGGTGAAGTAGGCCGAGGGGATGGCAATGAGGATGGACACTGTCCACACCAAGGCGATCAGACCAGTGGCCGTTTGACACTTCATCCGTGGTCTCAGAGGGTGGACAATGGCCAGATACCTGGGGCAGGAGTACAAATGCAGTCAGCCAGTCAGAGGAGCAGGTAATGGATAAGAATTTCATTTTTGCATCATTGTGAGGAGCAACCAAATTATAGGGGTGAAAAGCCCCATGAGGTGTGGACTTCCAGGAGAGGCTGGCTTGGATGCAAACTCAGCTCCACTTCTAACTAGCTGTGAAACTTCAGGCAACTTTTTCTCGATCTCTCTGAACCTCAATTTCTTGCAAAAGATTTTTGCTCATTTTTAAAAATTAGGTACAATAGTATATGCACTGCTCCTGCCAAAGTTGTAAACCTAGTATATATACAAAAATGGCACAAATTATTATGGAATACAGTGATAATACTTCCTACCAGTTTCCAGCCTGACATAATTCCCAGGTCTTGTCTGTTCATCCTAATTAAGTTTAGAGCTTAATCAACCTGGTAACTCTAAAGAACTTCTAGAACTTGCCCTTTCCAAAGGAAGCTCCAGGCAGTTTTGTCTTCATTCTACATTTTTTAAAATACTGCTCAGTGATGCAGAGGTGAGGGTAAGCAGTGCCCGTTTATCTCATTTTTCCAGGTAGAAAGATGGAGGCAGCTGAGGAGAGATGAGTGACTTAAGGTCATATACCACAAGACCCATGATGGAAAACACTTAACCTCAGCTCCTAGGGTTGATGTGAAAAATCAATTGAGAATATACATGAGTGTAATTTTTTGTAACCACAAAGCAACAAATGGTAAAAGACATTGCTTTTGTTCACTACTAAAGAACCCACACAGCAGTTACCACAGTGGCCCAGGAAGGAGAGAGCACTTTCGTGGAGCTGTGAGTCATTGGTGCGGTATGGCAGCGCCCATCCCAGAGTGGGAGCAGACTTAGGACGAGAGCTCTGGTTTCCTGGAAGCCTTTGCACATCTGGCAGGGGTGGAAGTTGGAGAAGGAGAAAGACAGAAGTGAAGAGGGAAGGAATGACGAGTCAACCCTGAAAATAAACAGGTTCTCGTGTATCCACAGCTTACCCCAGGTAAGGCTGAGTGCAAATTGGTTTCCACTGGACCCGATCCTTTCGAGATTTTCTTGCCTGGGATTTTGATCTGAAGAGAAGTTTGTGTGCGTGTGAGTGTGTGTGTGTGTGTGTGTGTGTGTGTGTGTGTGTGTGATTATATTTCTGCTATTTCTGTTTCTTCCCATAACATCAGCAGCCAAAACAACTGAGGGTATTTGGAGGGTTTACTGGAGACTCCTGTTCTCACCCAACTCCTGAAAGACGATAGATGAAGCTGGCTGGGGCGAGTCCATTCTCTGGACACTGAACTGGCTGCCACAGTGGCCACCAGCATCCATCTCTGGCCCTGTAGCCAACGACACGGCACTGAGAAATGGAAAAGGAATCTCTGAAAAGCACGAGTAATGCTCTGCCAAGGTGTGTGTGCGGGGCCTTTCAGAAAGGCCACAGTGCTCCGGCCGTCACCAGTGCATTAAACGTGCTCAGATTCCTAAGAAAAATAAAGTGTCCTCAATTGGCTTACTTTCCCTCCATCCACCCCAAAATTCTGCTAGTCATTTTGCCAAAGAAAACTTCTAGCTTCACATTTGTTCACCATATGAATTGTTACTATGTATTTCTGTTCCTTTCTTGTACTGTGTTTTTCAATGAATCATTAGGTAATAACCCCATCTAGGACTCAGAAGACCCGGAATCAAGTCCCAGCTTTGCCACAAACTTGTATGAACTTGAGTCATTTTTCTTAACCCTGTTGGTTAAATGTCCTTATTTATAAAATGGAAGTGTCAAAAAAAATTTTTAAAATAAAATGGAAGTGTCATCTGGATACTGTGAGGCTCCAATAAGGTGGTATATAAAGAGCAATAAGCTATTAATATCTGAGAAAATACTAATACCTTAAAATGTATTTTTGTCAGAGCTCTTCTGTCTACGCAGCAATATTCTTTGACCTATTTTTGGTAAATACTGAATTTGCAAGTCCTCTCCTGCTTTCTACTTACTGAATCCAATCTTCACTTCAAAAAAAATTTGCAGGGTTATTTGATCCGACTCTGTCTGATATCTCCCCAAATCTCTTACCTGAGGTTTCTACCATGTACTGTGCAAGAGGTCTTTCTGATATACTTGCATATAGACAAGGTACACAAAACTATTTTGGGGATTTCCGTCAGCCTTAGCTAGGCTAGGATCAGAATTCCAGAGCTCCAATATTGACAATACTTGCTTATGTGTGTAAAGAATTTACAAGTTTTAGAGACTGTTCAAATCCACATTTGCAGTAGATAATCCCAACTCCACTACATGGATAAGGGACCAAACAGTCCCATTTTCAAAATGAGCAACCTGAAGCTTTGAGAAGAAGCTACACAGCTAGAAGATGATGAAGCCATGACTCAGACCCAACCTTGTTGTAAATCCAGTGGCCTCACCAACACGCCATTTGCCTCTGCTCTTTCCAGAAAGAGCAAGCAATTCCCTTTCCTCCTGCCTTCTCAGTATCCCAGCAGCTGTCTCCTTCTATCTCTCCATCACAGTTGATTTCCACCTACTGACATTCCATGAAAGGGTCAGACACTTGGCAGCTACTTTTCTCTAATCATCAACACTGTCTTGCTAGTCTATGTGCCTGTGACTGTGTAGTCTATGACTGTATTGGCTTAGGTTCAGATCCATCCAAAGCCAACAGTTGTCAGAGAACAAGGAATAAAGGCTGCTGGACAAAGAGATGCCCAGGGCACAGTATAAATCTGGTACTGGTGGTTGCAGCAGCTACTAGATTGGTTGTAGGATGGGCAGAGAGTACCACCTTCTCCTACAGGGAAGCTGGCCCCGATCAATGAATCCACCAGGGGAATCTGTGCTTCCTAAGGCTGGGAAAAGTTACTGAGATCTCTGTGAGCTTTGTGAAAGCAGGAAAAGAGCATCTTGCAGCTGGTTTCCGGACTAGTGGGTTTCCTCAGAATTGTGAGTAAAAGAAGAGAGGATCCCACCCCCAGAACCCCAGTGCTATGAGACCCATGGGATACACTTCAGTGACAGCGCAGGTGTCTCTGCTCCAAAGAAGAAACCCTTGAGAGGGACAGAGTTCTCTCAATATACTTTTCACTTCCCTTCTGCCATCAGGTTGTCTGCGGTCTGATCAAAAAATACAGTGAATGCATTCCAAATTTAGAAATTCAAAATTTTTAAAATGTGTTACAGTAAAAGACCCATTGCCATTATTCCACCATAAAATACTCTCTCTTGCTTTGAACACACTTTTCATCCCATTCATTGCTCTTGCCACTTTCTGAAGCAAATCGTGAAGACCTCTGTTATAAGTATCTTTTCAAGGCTGCCTCAATATTCTGAATAAAATCAAAATATTATGGTAATTTGTGTCAAATAAAGACATTACACTGTATCTTCATCCACCTTATTTACCAGGTCTCACACTGTGTGACTTCTGGCCCTGCTCCAAGGTCAGGAAGACCTTGAAATGTAATATTTTGAGTCAATTCAGGTCATCATGGCGGGAGCAGCACTACTGTAGATATTCAAGGATGAGAACTGCTTCAGAAAGTGACAACAGTGTGTTTGAAGCCAGGAGGGAATATTTGAGCATTATTTTTGTCAATGTGTCTTTTCTGAGAACTTCACTGTATTTCATGATCCTACCTCATATTCCCTCTATTGGATTTTGAGAGCTTCTGCAATATGACTCTATCCTTTCTGATCTCTGTTCTCCTTACATTACTTTGTCCTTGCCACACTTTCCTCCCAAGGTTCTTCACGTCAGACACTGCCACCATGAGGCTTTTTCAAATTCTGTTCCATCCTCTTGGACAACCTTTCCTCGCCTTTACTGATCTTCATTTGTTGAAGGTCACTTTAAGAGTCGACCACTTCCCTGAAGCCTCCTCTGACCTCTCCAGTACACGATGATCTCAGCCTTTTAAAAATTTCATTCAAAAGTTGTCCTTCACTTGGTCTTTAACGTTTTTATCCACGCAAGTTTCCTCCCTCCATCCTAACCCCTAAGACGTAAGCTTCTGAGGGGAAAGGATTATGTCTTGCTTCTTTTACAATTTTACTGTCCATGAATGTGGGACACCTTGTGGGATTTTAATAAAACCTCATCCTCATCAAGTACCTGGCACAGGGGGAATAGAAATGTAAAAAATGCTGTGGTGACAGTTCTCAAAGGAGGTTGTAACCTGATTTGGAGAACAAGGCATAAATGTGATTACCAGCCTGAGATTGGGTGGCAGTCTGGGACTAGATAAGAGGTTAGAAGTGCAGCAAAGGATGTTGAGCTGTGCTCTTTGGAGACAGTGGACTCACAATGGGTCATTAAGCAAGGAAGGGACGTGTGTTCAACACTGATTAATCTGGCTGCAGCCTTGGTTACTTTCCCCAAGGCACAGGGACCTGCTCAGTGTTCCTAGAACCCATCAGGTCTGTTCCTGCCTTGGGGGCATTTGCATTTATAATCCCCTTTGTCTACAAGCTTTCTCCCAGTCTTCTCAAGGCTGACTCTTCCTCCAACAGTCAGAAGTCAGTTTAAAGGTCTGCTCAGAGAATTTATCCTGATCCCTTACCTAGAACAGGGGCAGCGCTCAGTCCTCTCAGCGTTTTTGTGGGTGTGTTTGCACTGTTTGTCACTGAATTGTCTTCTGTCTGCCTAGCAGTCATTTCTTGGATATAACTTCTTCTGCTTGGTTATAATGTCCACAAGGGAAGGAGCTTTTAAAATTTTCTCTTATTCACCATCCTATCCCCAGTGCTTGATAGAGTACCTGTCACATCAGAGCTCCTCTAAGAAAATTGTTAGAGCGAATCCATGCACACATGGGTGAAAGAAAGTCTAGGGTGAATTGCAAGGAGAGTAGAGTTGGCAGCTGGGCAGAGCCAAGGGAGACCAAATGCAGGAAGTCCAAGGGGAGCCCATGACATTCCAAAGCAAGATAGGGGCAGAGGTGTTGTACGAGGGCCTGGTAGTTGAATATGAATGCTAGAGAATGAGAGAGGGGCCAGGAGGAAAGAGACCTTCAAGCTTTGATGCCTGGGTGAGCAATGGAAGAAACAGGAGAAGCAGAAATCCAAGCTAGGAGAAAACAAAACAGTTCTGTTATGCTATAGTTTGATAGCTGTGTCTTTAAAAAAAAAAAACTTTACATTATGAATTTGTCTAACATGTCATCAAAACAATAGTTTCAGTGAAATTGAAGAGGTTAGCCAATGGGAAATGTTCATTAGCTTTTCTGGCTTTGTGGTTGTTGTCCTTGTTGTTTTACTAGTTAATATAAGAACTACGATATGTACTAGTTAGGGTTAACTCTGTCTTAAATGTTATTTTAAACGATGCAATATATTAAGTTTTATTATTAATCTCATTTTATATATGAGAAAACTGAGGCATAGAGAAGTCAAATTATTAAAATAAGACCTACAGTGAATAGATGGTATAGCAAGAATACAAACCTAGGTACATGAACTGTTAATACCATCCCTAGAGAAGTTGCATTAGCAAAAATAGAGGCATTTTTATACTAAGATAAAAATTTCATGTCCAAAGCTGAGCAAATCAAACTTGAAAATTGCCAGTAATATTTCAAACAGCACATGAGACCAGACAAAAAGTCAACGATTCTGAGACCACGAAATTGAAATTAGATGGTAGCAACACATTAAAATAAAAATATGAAGCATAGATCACAAATATCAATTTTTAAAAGAAAACTTAATGCACTAGAGCAACCTGCTAGTGAACCAAGGCAGAGGTCAGTATGGTGCCAGCACACCATGATTTCCTACAAAGCCAGGGTGTAAGCTTCCAATCACAAACCAACTCTGAGCAACAGCATTTGCTATGCTGCAAAGTGTATACCCCAATTCCCTTTTCTTGGTGTTCCTAATTTGCATTATGTAAACTCATAATGTGAGAAAGATGTCTGCAGTATTTTAGACAAGGTGCCTTCAGCTGAAAGTAGCAAGTGGGTTTGAAGGAATTCAGCAGAATGAGGATGATTGGTTGACAAAGATATTATCTTTCACACATTAAAAATAACTCAGTGCCCTTCAGTCTACCCTAGCATCCTCATCCTTGAAGCCCTGCTGCAGTTGTCAGCCCTGTTGACCAGGGGGCCCCTGCATGGTGAAATGGACCTCCCCTTGGGAGCAGAGCCCTACTCCACAGCCTACTTTACTTTTCATGGCTTAGAGCACCCCTGAGACTAGATGGCCTGCTAGCATGCATGTCCCGGGTAAGACTTCATATATTTTGTCCTGGTCATGTATCAAGAGAAAAAGAAGCAGTTTCCATGTTCAGGAAAGGTCAGACACCAATTCCCTGGAGCTCTTCCCTGTAGATTTCAGCAGCACGACCTCTGCTTGAACTCTGCTCTCCTGCTTTTGCTGTAGGCTCACCCAGAATTCTTGGCTAAGTAAACCAAGTCCTTGACATCCTTCCCTGGGGAAAGGAGGCAGTGGCTCTGCACCAAAGTGGGGCAATGGATCTTAAAGCCAGCTCCTTCTATCCCCTTTCCTCAGGAGTAGACCTTCTCCAGGTTGTTCTACCACTGGATGCCTTCTACTCAGCTTCACAAAACACGCTTGGTTAGCTGTGCTTCTCTCTGGAACACTGACTTGGGATGCCTGACTGCTAGGGCCAGGTTGAGCCCCACAGAGCCCCAAGGCCCTGGAACAAAGAGAATCAGGCTGTCTGGGTCAGAAGGGATACTGGCTGTTCAGATCTTAGTACATGGAGGTCTGATTTAACCCTCAGGGTAACTGGCTATGTACCATAGCAAGGAGCTTTGTCATGAGAGACAGCAAAGTGGGCAGAGAAGTTTGTAAAAACTATTCCCAGGAACAAGGCCACTCTGGCTCATTAGTAAGTTTATACCACATGAAAATAACTATGAAAAAGGTTTACAGAGAATGCTACCACTAATTTTATTTACCATTACTAGAAATAGCTCTTTTGCACTTTTGCATACAAATGAAGATCAAGATGCAAAGTGATTTATGCAAAACAATTAAGCAAGCACATATTCCCTTTTTGTTTTTTCAAAATTCCCTCAATTTTGTTTAAAAATCAATTGCTATTAGGAGAATATACCGGTACAGAAATTCTTTTTTTTTAATTAATTTTATTGGTACATTTTAGATATACATAATGATCACATTTATCATAGCGAATTTGTATCTGCACATATCTTGATTCTTCTTTTTTCCCCAATCTCCTCCCCTCCCCTCAATCTGATAGATAAATACTTGATAAGATAAAAACTGCCCTTGATGGGCCAGAGATTTAGCTCAGTGGTTCTGCTGCCTGCCTCACAAGCACAAGGACCCGAGTTCAATCCCTGGTAGAAAAAAAAAAACTGCCCTTGATGGGCCAGAGATTTAGCTCGGTGGTTCTGCTGCCTGCCTCACAAGCACAAGGACCCGAGTTCAATCCCTGGTAGAAAAAAAAAAACTGCCCTTGATGGGCCAGAGATTTAGCTCGGTGGTTCTGCTGCCTGCCTCACAAGCACAAGGACCCGAGTTCAATCCCTGGTAGAAAAAAAAAAACTGCCCTTGATGGGCCAGAGATTTAGCTCAGTGGTTCTGCTGCCTGCCTCACAAGCACAAGGACCCGAGTTCAATCCCTGGTAGAAAAAAAAAAACTGCCCTTGAAATTTTCAAGTTCACTCCAGAAGTAACTGCCTAGTACTTAAACATATCCCTTAAGATCTGTCTACTCTATACCTGGAATGACCACAACATTCAGAGCAGGCTTACAGCAGTGTGATCAAAAGCCTTTCTACTGCACAACGGTAGGGGGCTCCATTGCCTCCTGCCTGACCAAACCTGGAAACTAGAACGCTTCTCTCTTTTGAGTGCCTCGTGCATCCACATATGGGGGGAGTACAGATCCTTCTCATCTATCTGCAAGTGCAGGAAAGAAAGGGCCAATTCCAAGTCTCTTCCTCACTGACCACTTTTGTTGCCCCCACTCCCCCTGCACTCACCTGTCAATGGCGATGGCTAGCAGAGCATTAGTAGAAACGTAGAGAGAGACAGTGCGCAGGTAGTTGACCGAGGCACACAGGACGTGGCCATGCTCCCAGGAGAGTTGGCGCACCACATAGTAGTCCATCTCAAAGGGACAACAGACAATGGCCACCAGGAAGTCGGAGACAGCCAGGTTGGCGATGAGTAGGTTGGTGAGGTTGCGCAGCTTCTTATAGCGGGCCAGGGCAACAATAAAGATGAAGTTGCCAATGCCACAGACCAGCATGATGCCCACCAGCGCCATGCCAATGATGATCTTGGCAGCAAAGAAAGTCTGGGAATTGGTCATATCCTCCTCTTCATCCAAGGGCATGTCATAGTCACCGTAGCTGAAGTTGAATGGCAGGGAAGCAGCTTGGGCTCCATGAGAGTCCAGTACAGAAAGGAAGGTGGTAGAGGAATTGGTGGCATTCTCATCCATGGCCCCCATTCCTACCTCCATCTTGCCAGTCAGGGCTGGTTGGGGCCGGTCCATGCTGTGAGCAGCACTGCTGGGAATTCTCCTGGAGTGATATTTGTACAGTCAATGTCTTCCCTCTCTGCTGACAGAGCTCTCCCCTAATGATTCAGTGTCCCTGCCAGCATCCTTGGGGTAGTGTATCCCAGCTCCATTCTAAGCCTTTGAAAGATACACAAACAGTTGGTTACATGTTGAATGAACCTGAATGAATCCGAAATCATCCTGTATCCTAAGCAGATCTATTAGCCACCTGCTGAGTGTGAATATAGGACAATGGAGTGGAAATAAAGAAACAGAGAGAGGAAATAAATGAAAACCACATATCCCCTCAAACAAGGAAGACCAGATTGCTATAGAAACAAATCAGTCTCTGACTTTATTTACTTCCATTCCACCAAATGTACATTTTCTCAAGGACCACAGGCGAGAGCGTAAGAAGGCTGATGAGACCAGAAGTAACCTGCTCTGAACTCTTATTACTGTCCTGACTGCCTGAACTACTTTCTAGGTGAACAGTCCCATTCTGTGGCAGCAACAGCTCCTTTCCAGTAGCTCAAAAACAAACAAACAAACAAGCAAATATTATTCTGTTAGCTATAGCAGGACAACTTTGAGACAACCTGTTTGTTCCCACTAGCTGATCATCTGGCAAAACACCACTATAAAATCATGACACCATGCAGCAGCTTCTTTCCCTTAACTTCAGCAAGCTTCCTTTCCCTCAAAATCTGCTGTGACCCTAGAAGCTAGGCACAGTGTTTACCACTGCCTGTCCCCATGCAGAGGCTTTGGTGACAAAGTCTCAGCCTATCACCCACTAAATGCATTAGAGGGGGGATCTGATAGTGGAATCTTTCCTGGGCTGCTTGTGTGTCCTGAGGTAAATAGCTTAAACACTCATGGTTTCAAACTCCTCCAGGCAGATCAATAATGTCTGTAAAGCACAGAGCTCCCTGGAGAGGGAGAGTGTTACACCCCAATGCAAGGAATTCTGTGTACTCAGGCCTCTCAGCCAACTAGCTTCAAGGAAGGGGAGGGGAATCCTGGCACTGAGACCACCACAGGACACATTAGGGCTGGGGGTAGAGGGTTTATCAGGAGCACTGGAAAGACAGAAAGGAAACCAGAGCCCCCTCCCCCAGCCCCTACCCTGCTGGGTCCCTGTAGTCCCTCCCAAAGCCTGAAAACTTCAGACTAGGGAGCTGCACACATAAAAAGGGCTAGGGTCTGTAGTGCACCCTAAATATTAACAGAACAAGAGGGAGAAGGACAGCAATCCTGAGTTCCCGGAAAAGGAAGACACCCGGATGATGCCGAGAACCTCCCAAGAAAGCCTGTTGCCCCAGCTCCTCAGGGAAAGGCACCTGGAGCCTGGCTTAGGTTAAAGTCCCTCTGCACCCCTAGAAGTTTCAGCCCCAATGCTGCCTCCCTCTTCCAGCTCCTCATCCGGATTACGTCCTCCTCTGGGCTCTCAGTCTTGTCCAGCAGCTCTGCCTCTCCCCATCGGGTGTGAAAAGCAGAACCCAGAGCTGAAAAGCCAAAAGGGGCCAGGGCTTGAGCGCCAGTGAAACTCGGCTCACCCTCTGCAGGGCCCTGTGTACCAGGGGCACGCCACCCCGGGGAATACCTCTCAAGCATGCTACCCGGAGGGCTCAAAGTCAGGATTTGAAACAAGAATACGGAAACTTCTAGGGTGGTGGGGAGTATTAAAAGACTAAGGATTTGAAGAGAAACTGTTCTGAATCTCCTGTATTCTCAGCTCTCAGGGAGGAACCCCACTCCCCACTTTCCCTACCCTGTCCTCTGGATTGCTGGAAAGCGCTAGCCCCTGGCGACCCCTGATCTATCCTACTACCAGTGCTCGCTTGCTGCCAACTTTCTTCTGGGAGCCTGGGCGGCTTATACAAAAGGACAGAAAGGGGGAGTAACCTGGATCTCCTGAAGAAATGCACTCTTTCGAGTCCCTGGGAAATCCCCCTCCGCATTCAAAAGCCCGCTCTCCCTCCAGGCCACCCAGCGGCCTCTGTGCCCATGGGGTCCGGAGGGGAGGGCAGCTCAGTACCTGAGGCCGCCGGCGCCCAGCGATCCAGAAAAGGATGCTTCTTGTAGAGGTCCTCGGACTCTTTCTCCTCTTCTTGATCTTACCTAGGCTTGGGCTTGATTTGCGCTCACGCTGCCTGGGCAGAAGCCGGGAGAGGCAGCCCAGACCACGCCAGCTCCCAGCTCGGGTCCGCCTCTCTCTCGCTGTCCCCGCCCTCAGCATTTAAGGGACGCCCCAGACTCCCGCAGGCAGAGGCGAGTGCCGGGCTCCCCGGGGTGCTCGAGCGCTGCTGTAAGCTAGGATGCATAAAGGTCGCCAAGGTTTAGTCGGAGAGCCAGGTAGTTCCCTGCCGCTGAGCGGAGCAGGAGGGCGTGCTCCCGGGCTCCGACTCCGGAACTGTGGCCTGGGCGGGAAGGAGGGCTCTGCGCCCTGGGCAGGGCTGTGCGCCCAGCCCGCAGGCGGTGTGGCCTGG